AAAACGCAACATATGCCATGTCAGTGAAGTTTTAAGCAACCTTCTCCAAATCTCAGGGATAAAAGGCGCACGTGTATCCTCCTGGTATACATCTAAGAAACGGAACTTATTCGAATTTTAGCAGTTAGAGTTTCTTCGGTTGAAGATGGTGGCTGTGTATGAGATATTTGGAAATTTCGAAAGAGTAAGCCATACCTTGTCAATTTCTCCGCTAGCGGAGATAAACTGCTGTGTGAGATTATCCATGTATTCGCTATCCTCTCTGCTTATGTCGAAAAGTGCGTTGAGCAGGTAGTTGGTGTCAACTGAGAACAAAGCTGCGTCATTTGCGTGGGCGCTTCACTTTGACGGCACGTACCTGTTCGGTGACAACTCACGCTAGTGGTAGTCAGTGTTAGGAGCAGCAACCATCCGACAAGCTTAAGCATCATGGAAAATGGTATAGCGATGGGGAAATGAGAACGCCAGGTGCTTTTATGTCGGACTGTGGCCGTCTGAGAGCAATTCTGTCGAGGTCATCTTATGGGCGGCCCGTTTGATTATGTACTATTCTCTCCTCAATCTAGCTCTCTTTCATGTGTTACTCACTTGTTTAGAAATAATTCTTCTGACATTTGACAGTATTTTGCTTCGTTGGCATCAAAATGAAATGATACTGTCGATGAGCGAGACGAAGCGGAGCTCATTAAATTGGAAACTTGGCGGATTATTGTGCCAGCAAACACGTTGAAACTTTCGCGCACAAACAGAAAACATTTGCATAGTTTAATGGCTATGCGCTCGACATTTATTGATTGGCTACTAAATTTTGTGTGGTTGTTGAACGACCTATGACTGTTACCCACTTATTTTGCTTCTCCAGTTGGATCGCATTGTATTTTGCTGCTTCTTCTGCTTGAAATGGGTACGGACCCCACCTTCCAGTTTGGTGCCAGGACGTGGAGAAGCAGAAATGGCCCGGCATTGCCGCCCTATTGCAAGGCACCTATTAGCTAAGTGTTTTCTCTTCGCATCATCTGGTCCGCCATTTCGAGTAAGGGAAATAAGGAGGAGGAATGACAAAAGAAAGGAAGAAAAAGAAGGAAGGAGGAAAGGAAAAGGGAAGGAGAAGGAAGGCTCCGCGGTTGACAGATATCCTGAGACCTTGCCGCCATCAGCGTGGCACCCCTCAAGCATTTTCGCTCAGACATCGAAAGTCG